TTTTTTCTGTATGCATTTTACGTAAAAAATAGATTGCTAAAATGTGCAGTGGCATAGTGCTGTAAAATAGGAGTTAGAGTTGGCTTCTTTGTAGTCTTGACTGGGTCAGAAATTGTTCATTCAAGTGATTGCATTTCTTTTGACCATTTATTCTGCTTTAGTTATAAAAATAGGTAAGCTGAGAGATAAGAGTAATATCTGACTCATACAGTTCCCGGAAGTTTGGTCTGTGGATACCAAGACTTCTTGAAATGGCTAACAAATGGAGAACAGTTTCAATTTAAAAAGGTTATATACATTGAAGAAGTTCCCCACAAAAGCTAGGGGCAAAGGTCACTGTAACTTCATTTCTAAAACCAAATATGATTCAATCTGGAGTCTGCACCTACTTCCCTGTTCATTTCTCTCTAAATTACTATAACTTGTTTTTTTAGAAAAAAGTATGAGTATTAATAATAAAAATTCAGAGGCTATGCAAAACTCAAAACATCAGAAATAGAAAACATGCATAATTACATTTAGACAGAAAAAAAAAACAACCTCATGTCAGACCCATAATTTCTATTTTGTCCCTAAAATAGCTGGATCCCTCAAGCCATCTATGCTGAAGGTGACTTGGAAAGAAATATCCCTCATCATACATTAATATAAAACAAAGTTTTAAGATTTTTGTAGGACTGAGGCAAAAATGAAATGAATTCCCACTCTAATAGAAAGTGATGTAAGGCATGTGAGCAAGGCCTTGGGGCAACCCACAAGGGGCATTAGTTGCTTTCTGGGAGCTGAAGTTGAAACTTGAAGGATGTGAACCTTTGCCAGGCATAGAAAAGCAGAAAGGATTTACCAGGGAGAAGAAACAGCCTCCCAGAAACTGCTAGAAGCCCTGTTGGCCTGGCTGGGGTGGTGAATGGTGGGGATTAGCAGGTCAGCAGAGGGTGGGGGGACCTGGCTACCCACAGCCTTTGTCAAGCTGTTGGCAGTGGAGAACCAGGTACCAAACCATACTGAGTGGCTCAACCAAACCTCTGCTTTATTCCTTCCGTAAGGACACATTTAAAAAAAAAAAAAAAAATCTGGTGTTTAAAAGAAAAAAAAAAATCCTGATATACTAGTCGAGTAAGGCTCTATGAACATTTCTCCGAAAATTCTCATCACCTCTGCAGAAACCCAAAGCACCTTTTGGAATTCTTTCAGTGGTCTGTCTTAATACTTCTGGCGTTCCTTGACTCCAACGATGGCAAAATCGTCTTAGCGCTCTACTTAGAAGTTGTTTGAACCACTGTCCCCTGGAGGAAGGAATGTGTTTGGCGCTGCTGGATGCCTGCGGGAGGGCTCTGATGGGGACGGCCACTGGATTCCCCCGCCCCCGCACCCCACACCGCAGACTAGATTTCTTTAAACAGCGGATTGGCGCCATCCAGTGGACAAGTCCTAGAATACAACTTGGGGACTTGTAGATTTTTGAAGGGGGTCCAGTTGAAATGTCAAGTTTCTGATCTGCATTCTTTCCCTGTAAAGTTTAACAGCCATCCCAGGAAACAGGGTTTTGTTTTTGTTTTTGCTTTTTTTTTCTTCATGTTGCGGCAGTGCACTGTGAAGAAAGCCCCAGGCCTAAGTTTTCACAAACTAACTCAGTGACCTTGGATAAGTCTACATCCTCTCTGAACTGTTCACCCTCACCCACCTTTTTCTTTTTTTTAACCACTTTCATAGTTTTAGTGTCCACAGTTTTTCAGTGGCACAATTGTTTTAGTATTTCTTCATTATAATTTATAAGTCAAATTGGCATAAGTCCAGGTGGAGAAAAAAAATATTTCTGGCATCTTGAAAATTCAGAAAATGATTTATAGCTACCTGTCATTAATTTATACATCAACAGCTCTTGAATGCATATTTCTAAGAATGGTCTGAAAAACTTTAAACTAAAATTGCATAGTAGAGAGGAAAGAGCTGACCTTTGCAGCCAGATAGGCCTAAATTTAAATCCCACACCTGCCATATTCTGCGTGACTTTGATAATTTACTCTCCTTCCCTGAACTTGCCTCCTCATAATTCCATAGAGATGGCACATCTTTCATGTGTCAGGGTCAGGGTTACGTGACATAACACCTGCGGAACAGCAGACACTGGGACTGATACACAGATGTGTCTGTTTAATGGACTCGACTGCTCCTGTTTCGTCTCTGCAGTTTCCCTATTTATCTTCAGCAAATCATCCTGCCCAGAGACCAGGACTCTTCTGCCAAATGAAGATCATAATTCATTCTTAAGGTTATACAGATGCAAAGACATAACCACCCCAAAGCACTTGGCACTTTATGGGTGTTTAACAAACACTAGTTTCTTTCTTTCTGAAAGTGCTAACCCATTGCAAATAATTACGGTATTTGATATAAAGCTAAAATTGTGTCCATCCCATACTATCTTCCTTTATTTTTCTCTCAAATGTACACACATACCCTTGTTACATTCTCACCTCATTTTTCCCGTCTCTTTCATCAAAAGTTAACCCACTTGACATTTCAATTCAATTGCCAAGTGGGGTGGCACATGCCTATAATCCCAGAGACTTGGGAGGCTGAGGCAGGAGGGATCACAAGTTTGAGGCCAGCCTAGAAACTTAATGAGGCCCTGTTTCTCCAATAATAATAATAATAATAACAACAACAACAACAACAAAACACAAGAGCCTCTTAAAAAGGAACAGCAAGTTTGTTGCAGAGTTGCCATGGTGTTTATCTATTCCTCACACCAGAAGCATGGGTCCTTCTTTTGCACAGTTATGCACTCACCTATCCATATCCTGCTATGGTCACCGCTCCCTCTGCTTCAACCATAGCAACACCAGATACCTAGTCAGGTATTATCTCTCCACCCACATTGGTCAGTTTCCTCCCTTCTAAAGTTTGCATCTCTCTAGTGGGTAATCAGAGAAGTCCTCCAAGGCCTCCTCCCCACAGCAAGAAAGACTGCCTCCATGTTCGTGCTTCTGAACCACATCTTTCTGTAGGAAGAGATCAGAAAAAGAATTAAGGTTTTTTGAGCATATGTTAATACATTTGACCTTTCTGTGACTTTTACAAGTCAGTATTACTCTCTGCATTACAGATGAGGACATAGAAGAGCTGTTCACTCCTTGATCAAACAAAATATTGCCAAGCTCTGGGAATGCAACAGCAAACAACAGACACAACCCTTCTCTCTCAGATCCACAGGATCTTACAAAGGATGAATCCAGGAAGAGGAAGGAAAATAACAATAGATGAGTCCAATTGTGAAGACGGGTGCTATGAAAGGGTGGAAGAGGGGAATATGCCCCGTCTCTGGGGTTAGAGAAAGTGTGCCTAAAACCGGGCATTAAGATCTGGAGGTTTGGGGAGATCACACAGGTGGGCAGTGTGTGACAGAAATAGGACTGAAATCCAGGTGAGCTTGGTAGCTCTGTGCTTCATAGCCTCTCCTCTGATAAATTCTTGCATTGATGTCATGGAGCTTTGGCTTGTGATCCACACCTCTTTCTCCTCAATGGATTGCAGCTCCATGAATACAGCAGTCTTGTCTCCCAGGCATCTACGCAGTATGAGTAATATGTATAAGTAAATGGTTCTTTAATTTTTCAATATATGCGTTTGTATATCATTTTCCATATTTAATAATATTACAGGGATGCAAAAGTGCCTAGATTCTGCACTGTATATTATTTCTTTAACCAACACATTTGTATGGTTTTAGAACATAACTCTCTCTGAGCACCTGGGCCCTTCCATGTCAAGCTCCTTTGATTCAGATGTTTGACTGCTTTGTAGGCCAAGGTGATTGGATCAGCATGTAAGAGACATAGCGGCTACAGTCAATTCTGCAGGAGATGCAACTTGGAAACAACTCACTCATCTAATTAAAATAACATTGTCCTTGTCCTCCTGAAGTGTTGAATGGCACAGAGCTCATTTTCAGCTTGCTACCCACACTATCCTTGGAGATGAAAGAGGAGTCCCTAGCCAGTGCCCAGGCTTGTGCTAGGGGTCGGGGATACAAAGGTGGAAGCATGTGTTGTGATATGAGAAGTGTTTCCTCTTCTGGACCCTTAGTAATGTGCAGTCCAGTAGGGCCCACAGGCATGCCCAGCACCCACACACACTCACAAAGTTCCAACCAGTATACCCTATGCAAGGACCAGGTGTGCACAGGTGGAGGGAATGGATGTCTCCACTGTGGTTGGTATCGAGTGCCAGAAGTTCTTTCAGGCAGGTGGAAGTCATCTTTTCTGAGTTGGGAAAATGAATGTCAATTAACCAAGTAAAGAGGGGTAGGTGGGATGTGGCAGGAACTGGTCATAGGCAAGAGTCCCAGAGGAAGAAAAAGGATGGCACATTTGGGATCCGTGAATGCCTGCAAAGGCCAGGCACATGATGTGTATGGGTGAATGTCAGGTGACTGCACGTCAGACACTTTGGTACAGTCTTCATTTCCATGAAGAATGTCCTCTCTTCTGCTTTTTATTGACTTTTACATATTGAAATTATTCTTCATTTTCCCATCTTTGACTGAAACTTAGCTAAAGAGAAGTTGTTCCTCTAAAAATAGCAGTCCAAATCCACTTAGCATATTGGTTGGCAAGTGATGTTTCCCTTGGGGACACAACTGAGAGTGTGTGTGTGTGTGGGGGGGGACTGGGACAATCTGGAGAGCATTTTCTCTGTCTGAAGAGGACAGCCATTCTTCAACTCCAGCTGCTCAGTGGCTCTAGATCTTTCAAAGTTTTAGAAAAAGCAAGCAACTTGGATTTTTGGCAAGACAATAAAACTCTTTAAACAGTACCTTAATTATAGAATATATAAATAAATAAGCCTGTGGACTGAATGGAACACATCCACATGCTGAACCTTATTCATGGTCCATGCTTGCAACCTGCAGGTCCTGAGAGTGCCTTCAGAATCCTCATCCCATCATTGCTGTGCCTATAGTTTCTTCTAACCATCCTTCTTTCCTTGCTTTCCAGAAAGAGATGACGAGCAGGATGTGTCACTAATGCTCCATCTCGTCCTTCGGAAGAAAGGAAAGCCGTTTCCTCCTGGAGCCCCAGGTGGACAGAAAGCGGACCTCCCTGGATGAAATGGTGCACCTACTTCCCGGAGCAGAAGAGGTGGAGTCGATCAGTGACCCCCGAGAGACACGTTCCCCACTCACTTCATGTGCTCTTAACCCTCTGAGTGCTGCTAGACCAGACCTGTGGACCAGAAGACCACAACATGGAAGAAGGACCAGCCCTTGACCCTTCCGGCTCAGGAATCGTCCAGGAGGGGCCTCTGCACTTCCGTGCATGTCATGGTTCTGCCTGTGACCTGCCGCCTAAGCTTTACTGGAATTCAGGTTTTAAGACTGAGATGTTTATTAGTACCTTTCCACTTACCTGTCTTGTCAGCCGGTTGACTTTTAGGTCATTTGTTTTCTAAGTACCAAGTGAATTTGGGAACTTTGGATACACAGCAAGTTTTTCTATAGCAAGCCTTCCTTTTGGGTCTCTGAAAGCTCCCACTCTGATCCTGTGGCTTCACATTCTGCAGGGCTGTGGAGCTGTGAGATCAGAAGCCCATCTGGCAGCATCCATGCCATTTCCCTAAGAAGCAGTTCTATCAGGGACCACTCCAGGGCCTGGCTTGTCTCTGTTCCAAACAGGGTCTTCACAATCTAACTCCAGGGAAGAGACTGGCCACTCGCAGAAAGCTAACAAGTTACCAGTTTGCCCTGATCAGAATGTACTTTTTTTTAGTAAGCATCACTCCCTGACTCTCCTATTGATATTCTTTCCTGTTTCCCAGAAAAGAGAAATAAAAGAAAGTTACAAATGACCAAGAATGGTCAGTAAGATCCCTGAGCCACATTAGTGCGGTGTTTGTTCTGTAAAGAGCAGGGAGTCCTGGCTGGACAATTGGTTATTTGGTGTATGTCAGTGATACACCCACTCTGTTGATTTGTCACCTTACTCACTGGCTCTCTGAGCTTGAAACCCAACCAGTCTTCTTTCTCCTCTGCCATGTTATGTTATGGCACAAAATTAACTCCTGGAAAGTCCCATTGATTGTGCCCAGTTACCAAGGTGGCAGTAGAGCTGGAGCTAACTTTGTTATTCCATTTTTTTCCCCCAATTTTTCTCTTTCAGTAGACAGAATAACACAGTCTGCACTGTGCCCTGCCTTTTGAAACCTAACATAGTTGTAATTGATGAAATGTCGACTTCTCTGATTCATTCACAAAAACCGTGGTCCTGTCAGCCCAGCCTGTGACGAGGGGGTAATAATACTTCCAGTGATAATTTGAGTTTAATGAAATATCTGTTGGTGGAGGGAAGTAGATAAGAATGTATTAGCACACTTAATATAATAACAATTAAAAGAGAAATGAGCGACTCTGGATTTCTTTTATTATATATAATGTGTTAACATCGTTTGTGGCTGCCGCGAAAGCCTAGAGGGCATGAAATCTCTGTCCAAACCAAGAAAGGGCTGACTGTGTGCACAGTGGCCTTCGACACTGACCCAACCACGTGGACAGATCCTTGCTTCCTATCTTATAAACATTGTCTCATGGAACCCAGACGCTGCTACCTCTCTCCATGTTGTTCACGCTGGTCAACAATAAACTTTCTTTTTTCTCTTAAGTAACTTTGAGAGGCCAAGATAGTCAAAAATTTTTCTCATCCTAATTTTTGACTGGGATGGGGGGAAACTGTCTTAAGGATACAGAGGAAACAAGAGCCCCTAATTCCTGAAATGTGTAATATGCAATACCACATGGGAAATGCAGGATGGTGGGACAAAGAAATGGAGCCCATGCCCTTGAGATTTTTGTACCATGGAGAACCACAGGATGTTTGCATTTAGAAAGTTGAACATGTTCCTGCATTTCAATGATGCTTAATCAAATGGAAGGCTAGAATCTGAAGACATGTGTCATTAATAAAGTTGTTGTCTACTAACTGTATGAAATAAATCTAAACATCCAAACATTTTTTTGAACTTCTTGAAACATTCTCCTCATGGCTATGTGGCTAATTGCACTAATCAACTCTTCTAGAGTAAATTCTAGAAAACTGCTCTTGTAGTTTTTAATTACAGGATGTTCCTATTCTCACAAAACTTTGTTTGGCAAATTCTAAGGAAAGTCTTCATAGAAAAAAAAATTTTTTTTTAACTCTTTGGCCTGATTTTGTCTTCCACAAATCTCTTACTGCAAATGGAGAATCTGAGCTTCTGGAAGCCTCCAGATTTCTCCATTCCTCTGGGTCAGAGACTGGCAACCCTGCTTCTTTCTCCCAACCTGGTCCCCTCTCCTCCTTGTTTTCCCACTTGGGTGGGAGCAGGGGGAGTGAAAATTTCAAAGTTAAAAGATTATAATGAGTATCCTTATGCCCTTAAGTGCATCAATTAACATTTTGCCCCATTTTCTTTCTTACCATAAATACATGTTCTGAGTGTTCAATCGTTTGAAAATAAGATATAGCCATCATAAAACTTTAAGATTCTTCATCAAGCTCCTCTTAATATGACTCTTGCCCTGGTCATCTTCAATGTCATTATCACCTCCAAGAAACTGAACATCAACACAATCCCTGTTTGAAATTCTTCAACTGTCTCAAAATATTCTTTATAGTTTTTTTTTTTTTTAATCTAGGATTCAATCAAGAATAACACTTTGTCTTTTATTGCCTTTCTCTTTAGTATCCGATAATGGACTAGAGTTTCCCTTTTGTGAATATGTGTGGTGAGGTGTGTTTGTGGGGCACTGTGTTGTGTTATGTGTACATGGTGCAGTGTGTCCATCAGTTTATGACTCTGACATCATCATCATTATGATCATTATTATCATTTTTCCTACTGGGTATTGAACCCAGGGACACTTTACCACTGAACAACATCCTCAGTTCATATTTAAAATCTTTTTATGTTGAAACGGGGTCTTGTTAAATTGCTGAGGCTGACCTTGAAATTGTGATTCTCCCATGCCAGCCTTGCAACTTGCTGAGATTACAGGCATGCACCACTGTACCCAGCTGACATTATTAAAGAATTTGAGCCACTTTACTCGTGGAATGTCCCACCATCTGGAGGATTTTGTTTGGTTGGTTTCCTCTTGTTTCCTCATTATGCTCCTTTTTTTTTTTTTTTTTTTTTTTTGCAAGAATACTATGTAAGTCAGGTTGTTTCTTCCTGTTGCATCACATCAGGAAGCACATGTCTAACATCTCTTCATAATATTAAGAAGGATCAGTGGCTGCAGGTGCTATCTGGCTGGTCCAACCATTATCAACGTCTATGATTGATTATTAAGCTCTGAAATTCACTAAGCCTAGTTTTTATAGAAGGTGAAGCTATACATGTAAACATCCATTTCTTAATAACCAGAGTTCATGATCCCCAAAGAGACTACCCACTGCAGATAAATGATATACCAGTGGCAAAGGATTCATACCTTTCCATTTAACAGAAGGAAGAGAAACAGGACAGTTGCCTGTGTGGGCAATATGTGGGCATGCTGGCCGATGAGAATTTGTATGGTCATGTAGCCAGAGTTGAAATACATGTAACATTGCATCCCCCTATCCTTAGTGACTTCCCACTCAGACCCATGGTTTATTCAGAGAAACTTCTTGTTGAGAGGAATTTCCGAATGCTTCTCGGAGGGAGAATCTTAGATCTTATAATATGTTGTAGCCCTCCAAAGGACCATAGCACATAATCAGATACAAAGTATTTATGTGGTATTAAAATCTTATGAAGGATGGAATAAGGGGTGGGAGGACATGAGTAGGAGTAAAATGCCAAAAAAGTTCCTCAGTAGAAAAATAATGGGGGAAAAAAGTAGAATAAGAAACACTCATCTAGAGTCATTCCTGCTCCTTAGGTTGTCAATTTTTTTCTTCCCTGAGTATTTTCTCATTTCTTAGGACCCAGAGTCTCAGATTCAGGATGAATGGGAGGAGCTTTGAGAGATTTCTTAATCCATTCCTTCTACCTCCCAGGCCATGTCAGTGACATTCCCATTGAAAATCTGTTCTCCTCTCACAGATCTCCAGGCATGGAAATTCTGTATCATCCTCTGGTAGAACCTACTGAAACTCCACAATATCTGAAATCCTTCCACTTTGATTCCAGCAAAGTACTGTTTGAATTTCAGCACATCTTTTCTGTGTCCCACCTTTAATAAATCCAGGGACAGTGCAGCATAAGTAATTACATAATAAAGATAACTTCATTTGCGCATCTGTGAAGTTTTTCAAGATTGTTCCCAATGGTCCTTCAATCTTGTTTCCTTTAGAGTTCTCCCAATGACAGCACCTTCTTGGCTGACCTGTTGGTAACCATTTCTATTGTTCAACTAGAAAGCTTCCCAAAGCTCTTCCCCAAGTTTGCATTATGAATGTCACCAACCATAAACCTGATAAGAAATTAGTTCATGCCTTCCAGAAACCCTGTTGTGTCTTTGTTAAGTCCTGACTTTCTTTTTATACACTTATAGAATTTTAAAAGAAATTAAGTATCCATACAAAACTCTTCCCTATGTTATAACCAACCATTTTGGCTAACCTCCCTGAATTTTCTTTCTTCCTATTTTTAACATCTCTATTAGATTACACTGCTTGGGTTGGGTTGTTGTTTTCAATCACCTCTTTAACAGGAAAAACATGAAGGAACTAGAGTTCCACTCATCTCTTTGTGGTGGTTTTTGCCAATCTATCAGTGATAGAAGCACATCACTTCCTATGGTCTCTAATCTGGTGTCCCTTCCAAACCCCATTAGTATCACGCTGTAAGGGGGAAAAAAAAGTTGTAGGAAAAGTATGGCTATGTCTTCAAGAAATGGTAAAAAGGCACAATTAATAAGAGAGGGAGATGTCATCTGGATAACAACATTTCTCTTGCTGTGACCACTTTGGTCTTTGAAGAAACTGGTGATTCTTAGAATTAGCCAAACAAAGTGTGTTTTGAAATAATGATTGCTTTCCTGCTTTAAAAAAATATATCAGCAAAACACTTTTATAATAGACTATTTCCCTCTGGGCAGGTATTAATTCTGGGTAAGAATTTTCAGTGACATTATGTAAGAATGTGTATAACATAGAGGGAAGAGTCCAGTTCTAATCAAACCATTAAGCTGTCATACTAGCTTCTTGTGTTCTGATTCCAGAGTTTTCTTGTATCTTTTCTACATACTTCTGGAAAAAAATGTTGACTATATTTTTAGTTCCATTTGTTATTAAATTAAGGGTTTGACTATAAGAAAAATAGACTAACAATTAAATCAATTAGAAAAGCAAGATAAAACTAAAGGATATTTATAAAATCAGTTCTATGTGGGCTTAGAAATTCAAATGTCATAAATAAAAGACATGTAACCATCATCTGGTCTGCCTTTTTTAATGCTTGACTTATTTATTTATTTTATTTAATAATATTTAATTAATATCTATTGTGTTTAATTTCTTCATCTTAAAACTGTCCTGGAATAGTTTAATAAGAGGAAAAGTAAAAATTCTACAAAACATAATTCAAAATTTGTTTAAAAACATACATGCACATATTTGTATTTAGCAGAAGTTTCTTTATCCTATTACAGAATTTTCCAAGAGGCGTCAAGCATATAGTTTAGTTTCTCAACAGATTAGTGTTAGACATATTTTTTTCTTGTAGCAGGATTTAATATTAATTTGATGATAACCCAGTATATAAAGATAATAAAACCAGATCATAGAAAAAGTTCATTGATCAGGGCATGCAAACTCTATTTTTAATCTCTGGCTGGCCACTATGTTACTTGATTTTTAGGTAGCTTGATTGCTCCATGCCTGAACTGTACACTGGGATTATAGATTTGTTCATATAATAACTTATTGTAGGAGAATAAGGAAACATATTTGAAAAACTGGTAGTAAATATATATATATATATATATTTTTTTTTTTTTCAATGATATAATATAAGGGTTTGTCTAACATAGGGGGAGGCAGAGTCCATTTCTAATCAAAACAATTAAGCTGTCATACTAGCTTCTTGTGTTCTGATTCCAGAGTTTTCTTGTATCTTTTTTATATATATTTGGAAAAAAAAGTGTTTCTTTTTAAGTTTGTTGCCATTTAAAAATTGGGAAATTTCACATGTAAAAAATCAGAAATTTGGGCTTCTCTTATAAAATCAGATTTGGCAATACCAAGCTTTTTTTCTCATGTGACAGAAATTGGCTGAAAGGTGGCTGAATCACTGAGACAGCATATATGCTCTTCAATTTAGCCCAATCCCACCCTGTACTTGCCTCCCAGCTGTGAGGCTGACTGGCAGTTACTGTTTGTCCTTTCACTAGGAGTCTGCACTCATTTACATCTCAGGTTGCAACCCATGTTACAGCATGTCT